AGTACAGGCCCAAAGACAGATCCTTGTGGGACTCTGTGATTCATGGTTAAGCATGAAGATTTACTTCCATTAAAAGAGACACATTGAGATCTGTCACTCAGGTATGATTTAATAAGGGAGATACTATTTGGGTCGAAGTTATAGCGCGAAAGTTTAAAATGTTGTGGTTCACACAGTCAAAAGCCCATCACACTTTATATTATTGTAATATATAGATGTGTCAGATTAATATTTTACACAGTATATTCAAATGAAGTAACTCGAATGCTAATAAATAATGTTGTGGGCATAAGATGATCATTTATAATACCTAATACTTTTCCCTCCAATTACTTTTTAGTTGGTCTTTTATATTGACTATTTTAGGCAATTTGTAATTTACATTGGACATATGTGCGACGTACAACCCAGTTACATGCTTCACTCTTAACTTTTTTAATGGATTTTATAGGAAACAAATTAATTTTTTAATAAAATCCTAGAGTGAAATTGGTACTATCGAATAAAAATATTGATCTTGATTTGTCAATATATTAGAACCAGTTCATTATTTCTAATTTCTCTGCTAATTTTTTTAAGCTAGGTTCTCCAGCTTTGGATTACGTGTCCAACATAATTTGGCCTAATTTATTGCATAAAATATTGGTAAATAAAAGTGATCATTCTGGGGTGGATTAATTTACATGAATTTAAACTGCTTTTGCTTTTCTTTGTTTGTAAAATATCCCTAGATGCTTTGAAGTTTGATATTATGATAAAATAATACACTTTGGAGATGAAAATTTATCTATAATGAATAAATGGATTTAAATAATATCGCTGTTAAAAAGAATGAAAGAGTTGACTGACTAAACTTCGAGTATTGATAAATGCCTTATAGTTTAATCACAAACGCCCATGATGCATGATGTTTTCAACAAACAGCCCTTCGTTTTCAGCGCGGGGATGTTGCCAAACTTTAGAAATCCGTGATTTAGGTTGTTGTAGTTGGTAACCATAATAATAATTAAATATGCGTTAAACAAACTCTTACGTCAAAAAGATCAGATCAGATCAGTCAAGGGTTGTTTTTATGAAACTACTCTTGTTTAATCAAACCCGAGAAAGGCAGACAAATATGAAATAACTTCGCTTCAATTAGTCAACATTTCGAAAAAATTAGTCTATTTTTGTTTACAAAATTGCACCTGACGCTTCAAATAAAATTGACAGCGTATTTTTTTTTTTGTTTAACTGTGATCCGTATTTTTTATTTTGGCTTTATAATAGTTATTTATGATACAAGTGTTAAAAGTGGCATTTTATTTTGTGAGTGAACATGATTAAAAAACGAGCGTAGCGAGTTTTTTAACTTCACGAACAAAATAAAATCACTTTTAACACGTATATCATACACTATTTTTTCTACAAAACAATCGGAAGAACTTTAAACTCAATAAAAATAAGAAATCAAAAAATACCACACAGATCGCAGTGTTTATGAACCAAAATTTTCGTAGCAACCAGTACTTTTAACACTAGTGTTAAAAGTAACTTACTTTTAACACGCGTGTCAAAAAATGACATTTTTAACATCAAAAATGACAATTAAAAAGCCCACTTTTAACAGTTTTGTAGAAAAAATACTTTTTTCGTTTAATTTATTTTAATATTTTTTATAAGTGGCAAAGTACCTAAATAAACACCTTCATATGATTAAATATATGAACTAATGTAGAAAAAATGCCTTGTTCGCAGTAATTTGGTTCGTTATAAAACAGATTGGCTTAATGCATGTAATGTATCGATAAATAATCGTGTTTATTAGGAAAATTGGTAATTCCCCTGAAGAAAGCCTAGACTACTCATTCATACATTTAATTTCCTTTTTCTTTCTCTATGTATGTAATTAGGATATACCTATAATTTCTAAATTTCCAAACTTGTAACTACTATCAACACAATTTCTTTATTTTTAAGGGTAAATTAGCAATAAATTTAACATTTGTCTGCTTGCTTAGGTACCTATAGGAACTTATCGACTTATTTTGGAATATGATCGTCTTTTCTGTGTTTCATACTGAACGAGTGTCTTCTTTTTGGGGGAAATGAGGCACAGATTACGAATAAGTTAACATTTATTTTGGCTTGGTGTCACATTTAATTCAGTACATCGGTAATATACAATACAAATATAACATTTTCAACAATAAATAGGTATTATTATGTTGTTACATGAATTTGCAACAAAATGTATAAGTAATTTAACATCTCTTTTAAATTTATGAGTAAAGCTAAGATTAGGCACATATATATACATATAAAAAATGGAATGTTGTGTCCGTATATATGATATTACGAAAGATACTGAGATTAAAAAATTAAATAATGTTTCGGATACCAATGAGAGAAATTTTTAATATTCAATTTTTTTTTAAATAAATTTCGTAATACCATGTATACTGCTATATATCTATACTTATTTTACAGGTTTTTGGGGAAATATTTTACTTCCTTGTACAAAAGAATTGATGAATATGGACATAATTCATTGTTAATTTTTGAACTATGTCAAACTCGCCTTATCGCTAAAATGTACTTTCTGTTAATAATAATAATTGTAAGAATAATAATAATTCAAAGTACTGGTAGGTATAGAATGAATATTAAATTAATAAATTTTCTCTGATACTGAATTATTTTGAAAAAAACGTTGGAAATAACTAGCTTGCTTCTATTTTTAAATACCAGGTCTGTATTAGGTTGTAGGACAATGGGTAGAATCTAGAATCCTAAAATTTATCGTAGGTAGTCTTAATTTCGGTTTTCTGTCTGATTCCTACTAATAAATCCATTACCCATACTTTTTAGTTATTTTATAGTTCCAATGTAACTTTTTTAACAATAATTTGGTTTTATTTTTTCCACATCAGCTTGTTTTAAATGTAAACACTATTTATTCTAAAATATAAGAAAGTTAATATTTTTTCGGAAAACACAGTGGCTCACTTTTTTCTTTCAATTTTATAATTTGTATCCAGTTTAATTCAAATCCATTTACAGATTCCCGATATACATAGAGGGCGTAAATAATAAGTTTAGCTAAACTTTAATGACGTATTCTACCGATGAAAATAACTCTATTTTTTTTTTGCTCTATAAAAACTTTTGCAAGGATGCTTCCCTACGGAGATACAGGGTGTTAAAAGATTATTAAAGATATTATTTTGTTTTTATGTTGAACATTTCATTTCTCGTGACTGTTTTGAAACCTCTCAAAAATATTAGCTATTGAATTAATTGTTACACATTTAGCAATCAATAGAATATGGTAAATAGCAACGTATGACAATCATGACTTTGACCTCTACTTTCAAGGTCATTTGAAGGTCTACTACAGAAATTGATCTTGATGACCTTTACAAATGTTGTTAAGGATGTACGAGACTATAGATTGTTGATCTTGTATCTAACGTTGAATGACATTTGAAGGTTGATTAAAGGTTGACATTTGAATTTGCTGTGACCTTGCTAAAAAATAGCGGGTCTCATTTAAAATTATGAAGTTGACCTCCAACTGACCTTCAAGGTCAGATTTAAGACCAGCAATGGATTTTCCCCAACGACTGAACTGAATTTTTGGATTGGAGGCTTCTCTGACGAGATATTCATGTGTATCGACTAATGTAGGACACGTGGTATATTTGAAGTAAATATGCTTAAACTTTAAACTTTCAATAAAAAGATTTCTAATAAAATTTAATATTTTTAACCTCAATCCGTTAGATAGATATTATATTGTGACATTTATTGGTTGAAGATACATCAAACTTATTTCTGCTGTTACTAATTTGCTACTAGAATATAAGACGTCATTTCCCTAATTACGAAAATATTACTGCAGCATTTCGACCCTCGACAGCATAACAAATCCATGTTCAAAATTTTTAAATTTAACATGAAGTTGCGATGCAAATATTAGAATTTTGGACATAGGACGAATCTGTTAAGGTCAGATGTACAAAAAATATCTCATTGATTATATTACAATACATGAATGACCATTTTTTAAGTTAAAGCCATGTATATTTGGATTTTATTTAGATATAACTTTTATTTATTATTTCATATACAGGCAAATTTTAAAGCTTTGTTGCATCATTGCTCGTTATAACCACTGACTTGAAGTTGAAGTTTATTTTAACAGAAACGCATTTAGCTGTTACCTTAACTTTTTACTGAATTGGGAATCGATAAATAATTTTTATTAGTATATCGTTGAATTAAGATGATATAAAAGATAAATTCTAATCTTCTGTTCTACTTAGATTCCATTCATTATTTGAGAAACATATCCATTAAAATCTACCTTAATAACATAATTGTCCTACATACCTTTTTAAATCTATATCGCTATTTATCAAATTATGAAACAATTTCGCACATAAACAAGGAATTGAATAACTTTGTCGCATTTATGTATCTACCTGTAGATTCAAATAAATTATTATCATTCACAGAAAGTAGCAGATATTTAAGTAAAGGTAATATACGAGTATTTTTATAAATCAAATGACGAAAAGCTTGTTTCTTCGATATACATTTTTTCTAGATTAACGTAAATACAGTTTATAAGAATATTTACATATTTAATATTTCAAATTTGTTTTAAAAATATTTAACTGTTGCTTAAACGCTAAATTAACGAATTTGGGAATAATATCACTTGAAAACAAAGACTAAAAAATGTTAACATTACATTAACAAATACCGCTTCCAGAAGATAATACGTGTGTGTACATGTCAGTGTGACAAAAAATAATTTAACTGTCAATTAGTATCCTATATAGGCTCCGATTTAGCATAAGAATGGGTAAACGAATTTAACAACTTATTGAACATATTATCTTCCTTGTAGCCAACGGAAGAGTATCAGAATGATTTAATTATTTTAAAAACAACTTACATACTCTTTATTTATTAAAGCTTATAGATTTGTTCCATTCTGTCTCACGTGCAGCCTAAATGAAGAAACTGGAATCGTCATTCCATTCGTCGATGACAGGCCCGAAAGAGTCGTTAAAGAATTGATCGATTTCTTTGTACATGTGGAGTAGAGCTTTTGTAGAGAAATCGTGGTCTTCGTCTGGATACGCCTATAACAATACGTCAATTTTAGGAATGTTTTCGTAAACAGGATTCTCTCCCAATATTTTTAGTACGCATATACATCAGATAATAAATGTAACTTAATATATTTTGTTCTCCGAAAGTAGATAAGGAAATGGTGTATGCTATATATTAAAAGTCTTTCGAGATATCTTATTCATATTTATAGGTAGAAATTGGAAATGTTAGGGTGGCTGCGATGTGTACAAGGTTGGCTGTAGGTCGTGTTCTTTTTTTATGTAATTTTATTTAAAGAAATGACAATGTCGAAACAATATCAACCTTTTCACAATTTAGTAATCCCAGTTACCGTGTCATTGTACAACATGTACATGTCTGTCTGCTCCGAAGCTTCGCATCGATCAATTTATTCGATATGCATCTAACAGCACTCTAATGCCTGTCCTGTCGGCCTGGCGCGCCGTTGAACAATGCCGTTTTTTTGTTGAAATTAGTGGCCATATGCCTTAAGTCCAAGTTTGAAATATGATTAACACATCTCGAAAAACTTTTAAGATATTGGAAACATGATTTCTGCCACTCACCTTTACAGGGTATGCAGTTGAGTTGAGTTTTAACCACGAAAAATTCAGGAATCGCTGAGAAAGTTAAAATGATGGCATTTTGCTATATATACTTCTATATATATATATATATATATATATATACTCCATCGTTTTTGAGATACGAAACGTTAAAATTTTCAAACAGTGTTACGTTTCTAAATATCTTTGAACAAATGCAGATATTGCTGTTCTCGGGCTAGGCTGTGTGGGGGCGGACCCGCTATCAGAACCCCTAGGCCTGTCCTGACGTTACTAAGATCGCTACTCAGTGGCATCCAAGCTTTTGTAGAGTCACCATTGAAGGTGCCGACAGCGGCGAACGGTTAAACGTTTGGAAGCATTTGATTCTACCAGTTACAGATACCACTGCGGAACGTCTTAGAGGTCTGAACAGAGGTTCCGCCCGCGGTAGCCTTAAAATCGTCAATAATATTCAAAGGGCGGGCCTAGTGGTTCTGACAGCGGGTCTGCTCTCACAGAGCCTAGTCCGAGAACAACGAGGGTAGGTCAAAGATTCGGGGTAGGGAAACTAATTTATATTTTAAATTCATCTAAACATATAAACTTTATAAATTCCTAATAACAGCGAAAGTTGTGCAAAGTCAAGGATAAAAAAATTTCTTCCAAAATGAAATGTGCATTTCAAAAGTGATAAAAATTATATTTTTTCCAGTGCATAATATTTGAATAAAACGTGACCAAAATAACTCATCTTTACGACACTGGTTTCAGTTGAAACTTAAAGGCGGATATGCACTTGTGGCAATGCTCCGTAACGTAACAACGAACATGTTACGACCTGTTGCAAAAGGCGACACGGTTCGCTGCGAAAGTATGTGTGGTTTTGGTCGTATTATTCATTCCGGAACGTAACAAAATAAGGTTACGAGACGACTTAGGAACATAAACTCGCAGTATGAACCTGACTGCAATAATGGATTCGTCACTGCAATTGCAGTTAGCAGCAGCGTCATATATTTGTATTCATAATACAATTTTGAAGAATAAGTAACGGAAATCTCCGGAAATCTTTTCTTTACTCCACTCCATGGCACAAACACAGAAAAACACACTCTTCCTAGTCACTGTAGAAAACACACTGACCCCAGACCATAAACAAAAGACTGACGAAACAAAAAATAAGTTAAAATCACATGTGCAACAGGCAACCTTACAGCCAAAAGGGTAACCCTGTCTCAACATGTGGCAGAAAGTACTCTTGCATTCCTCTGATGCGACGACTAAAAACCGACAACAGATGGTTCGTCCCGGATTAGTTACGTGTGTCAAATTTGTTACACGTACCATGCAACAATTTTCCTCTCCACTAGCTGTATCGTAACATGTTCGGTGTTACGTTACGGGGGATTTGACACAAATGGATACCCGCCTTAATATTTCGCGTTAAACGTCATTCTGATACATTATGTTACACCTTATACAGTGCAATGTACCTACTTGATAAGCTTGCTGGATTATCTACAGTTTTAGAAAAAATCAATTGTGAATGATTCTAGTAATGATTATAAGGTTGTTTAAAAAGTCCATTATATTTTGTCCTAATAGTAGAAATAGCCGCAGTAATAGATGTTCTATATGCAATTCTAATGGGTTGGGAAATAACTAATGTTCGTTTTTAAGAACCAACGCTCCGCAATTGCTGCTGGTTTGCTCTGTAGTCATCGATCAACATGTGGTCATAATGAGCGTTTTCTTCATCGTATTGTCACTGGTGATGAAAAATGGTGTCTATACGTGAATTTGAAACAGCGTAAAGAATGGTGGGGCTCCAAAAAACAAGCAACTTCAAGAACAAAGCCAGAACTTCATCATCAAAAGACCATGTTATGCGTCTGGTGGGATTTGAAAGGTATTCTTTATTACGAAGTCTTACCAAACAATCAAATCGTCAACGCAGAACTCTATGTCTAACAACCCAACAACTACAGCGACTCCACTAGGCTATTCAACAAAAAAGACCTGATAAAAACGGACATTCGGGAGTTGAATTGTAGTTCTGCCTTAGCCGCCTTACTCTCCTGATCTCGCGCCTTCTGATTTTCATCTCTTCGGCTCTTTGTCAAACTCCTTACGTCGTGTTTTTTATTTTAACACCGACAATGAGTTAAGAGCTTGGTTGGATGAGTTTTTCGAGCCAAAACTGGAGGATTTCTACAGAAGAGGCATCGAGAAACTTGTTGAACGTTGGGAGGAGGTCATAAATACCGATGGAGCATATTGATAATAAATTGTAGAGTTGAAAAAAGTATATTACATTTGAAAAAAAAACGGACAACCCAATCCATAATTACGGTAATAAAAATGATATTTTTCAACAAAAGTAAATCCTTAAAATATTCCCAAAACTGACATCTTCAACAAGAAACATTAATAAAATGATTTATATTTTCTCTTTATATTTTAATAATACAGGGGGATTCACCAACGGTGAGCAAAAATGAAAGCTCGTATTCTTTGGTGAATTTTAATTTAATTTCGTATAAAGTTTTTATCTACGACGTTTCATTAAAAAGATACAGGGTGTTAAACTTAAAAACATATTTTAAATTTTTTTAAATAATTTAAAAACTAATAAGTGAAATAATTTTAAATTGGGCACATGTATTTATATAAACATTGTCTAAAATGTGAGGACTTTTCTTAAAATTTAGATGCTCCAGTACCTGACTTTCGTGTAAAACTTAAAAAGCGTACTGAAAACACTTTTACTTAAATGACATGACAAACACTAAGTAGGACCGTATTCGATGCAAAGTAGAGTTAAAAAGTTGTCGGTCTTTTATCAAAGGAAAATCGTGTCAACATTTTTAGGAGGCCTAAGATGAACCATTTCAAATTTAAAATGAAATTGAATGTAAAATCTGAAATACCGCTGCATACACACTGTGTTCTGGTAGTAGCTATAGTCGCCCAGGTGCATCGAGTATACGAAGTGGTCGGTTATACGTCAAATATAACCTGACGAGCTTGGTCGTAAATCAGAGAGCGCCTCCAAAAAACAAGTAAACAATAGTGGCGCGTACAGAGGTAAAATGTAGTATACAGGGTGTATCTAAATAACTCCGAAAAAATTCAAGGGGCGATTCTCCGATGAAAATTAATAGGGGTCTTTGGTATAAAATTTTTTGAAAAAACGCTTCCCTGAAAAGTTACGCCCCTCCTAAAATTACAAAATAAAAATTGTTTTTCTTTTTATCTTCCACGTACATCAAGCTAAAGAAACCAAACTTGGTGAACATTATCTGTCAATAAAACTACACTTTTTGAATTTTTTTCAACCCTGAACTATTTTTGTAAGGGGTTGAAATAATCAACCCCTATGACATTTTTTCTTATAATTTTTTTTTCGATAAAATTTTTTCCTTTTAAAAAATATGTCTAAAAAACCCCATTCATTTACTAACTTTTTGATCTCTTCAAGTTTCTTCGAAAAGTTAAGGATTTATGACAAAAAAAAAAAAATGTATTGTAATGTATTTTTAAAAAGATGAGCTGTTTAACGCGAGTGTATTTTGCCGAAAGATCTAGTGGCCTGTTCTTTACAATGGAATCCGTAGAAACAAATGTCAATGTCATTTATTGTTACTGTTTCTTACTATTTCACAAGTTTCATGATTTTGTGTAGAAAATATTAGTTAATAAACCGAAAATATGGTTAACTATTCGAATTTAGAAATGGCAGATATGCATTTTACATATGGGTATGCTAACGGTAATGCATTGGAAGCGCAAAGACTTTATGCTGAACAGTACCCAGAGCGTAGATTACCCCACCATACTACGTTCACAAATATTCACCAACGCTTGCGGGAACTTGGAAAATTTGAAAAGAGAAGTCATGACTGTGGCCGTAGCCGAGAAGTTAGAACTGAAGCTGTCGATGAAGCCGTACTTAATTTAATTGAGGAATCCCCAGAAACTAGTACCAGGAAAATAGCTCGTGTCCTAAATGTAAGCCATTCGGTAGTTTTTAGAATTTTAAAAGAACAACAGTTATATCCCTATCATCTCCAACGGGTGCAGTCGTTACTGATTCGAGATTTTTTACCACGTGTGGTTTTTTGTCAATGGCTTATTAATATGATCGGCCAAGCGCCGCAGTTCTTAAGAAATATTTTATTTACTGACGAGGCGAATTTCTCAAGAGACTGTATTAGAAATTTTCGTAACAATCATATTTGGGCTGAGGAAAATCCTCATGACTTTTTTGAAGGAAATCATCAGTATCAATTTTCATTAAATGTGTGGCTCGGAATTATCGACGATCATTTAATTGGTCCCTATTTTCTTCCACGACGATTAGATGGTGACTCATATTGTCATCTTCTCGAAGAATTACCTATTATTCTTGAAGAAGTTCCCATTCAAATTAGGCAACGTTTATGGTTTATGCACGACGG